AAAACCTTTATTTCGCTTACTGGGGTAGAGTGTTCTAGTTCCACGTGCCATGTTTAATGGATGCCAGTTTTCTCCAGTTAATTTTTCTCTGAATGTTCTCCACTGCCTTAACCGGGTATTGAACTCACACTCTTCCGTGGTGCACGTAGGCATACACTTCACCCGACAAACTGTTTTCCGTAGACGAATGCCTGTCGCTATTTCCATGTCAAGGACACATGACACAGTGGATAAAGGCGTTAGTTACGAAGTTAGATCCAGTGACAGGACCCAAAGAATGTGAGCTGGGCACCTCTTCAGTATTATTTTCCTCAGCTGTTCGTCAGTCCTTTGAGTGAGAAGCCCCTGAGCGCACTTTTGTCCAAAGACAGAGACGCAACTGAGAGACGATAAGTAGACGGGAAATTACTCAAAAAGAGTAATTTGGACGGACGCGCTCACACACACATATATTTGCATGTGCGTGTGTTAAGCTGTAAAGAGAAACAGAGCTGAGAATAGGGACGTCAAACTGAACACAATTATCATACAATACTATCAATGATAGCCTTACACCGTATGTAAATTTAGGATAAACTCTGGATAAAGTAAGGCATATATATATATATATATATATATATATATTATATATTAATAAAAAAAAAAAAAAAATATGAATCCATCGCTACATAACAGTTTTCATGTTTCAAAAACAGGCGCTATAACTTTAATTTAATCATAAAAATTTAATCGAAATTCGCTTGTAGATGAAACAGATCTTGATACTTTAATTCCAATTAATTTTTATAATTAAATTGAAGGTTTAGCTCCTTTTTTTGAAACATGAGATCTCTTATGTAGCGATGGATTCATATTTTTTAAAATAATTATAATTTAGGCTCTACTTATGTATTGATCACTGTTCTTTTTTAAATAAAAAAAAGTATGAAAGGACTTTGAATTATTAACCTGACGTGTCCTTTCCTACTTTTTTATATATTTGCACACGCATACACACACACACACACACACACACACACACACACACACACACACATATATATATATATATATATATATATATATATATATATATATATATATACAAAAAGAAATCCAAACTTACCGCGTAATATATAGTCTATTTCAATTGACGCCAAGTATGTCAGTCTTATCAAACCCAGACGGATGGACTGTTTCCGTGTCGGAAGTCGAGATTTAAAATTTAAAATGTTACACAGACAGAAATTAAATAATTGATACAGAGCCTACCCATATCGACGCTTCGGCAGGACAGAATGCCCGAGTTGGTGATAAGGGGAGGTCGGAGGTTATTTGAAAGAAGCTACATAAATCTAACCCAGATATTAACCTTAAGACCTAAAATTTATATGGTATTTTATAATAAATACATTGAGCTCTTTTTGTTGATCAATTTTAATATTGTATATTAATTAGGACCCACTTGGATTATATACGAACGTATTTTTTAACTTGAATTCAGAGTTGTCCTTCTCCTAGACCAGTTGCCATCCTAGTCTGTCCTGCTATTTACCCATAGCTGGGGAGAAGAAGAGGATTCACACCTTTCCCAAGAGCATTAGCACGTAAATGAATGTAATGGATTCGACTGGAATTAGAATTCCTCTATCCGTTTCCTCAATCCAAGGCGTTATTTTATATATATATATATATATATATATATATATATATATATATATATATATATATATATATATATATATGTGTGTGTGTGTGTGTGTGTGTGTGTGTGTATATATATATATATGTGTGTGTGTGTGTGTGTGTGTAAACACATTAGGAAATGGACAAAGTCTGACAATTATTTTAAGACCTTTATGTTTATACATTCTTTTTATAGATACAAATATTTAAGTAAAATGCTAACTGAGCGCTCCTCTGTGGCCGAAAAGGTTGAAAGCACGTTAGGTTATATAACGGTTCCGTATAGGGTACGGGTTCGATTCCTGTCGGAGGACGAAAGCTTTTTATGAAAATTTCTCGGACATTCAGGCCGGTAAATGCTGTTTAATACTGTTTATTATAAAACAGAGCATTTACTTAAATATTTGTATCTATAAAAAGAATGTATACACATAAAATGTCTTTTTATATATATATATATATATATATATATATATATATATATATATATATATATATATATAGATAGATAGGTTCGTGTGTGCATTAGAAAAGAAAAGATTAACAGGAAAACATTGAGATAGATTTGTTTGAAGGAGGCCGTTATGTTATATTTTTGTGCGTTCCAAACTGCGCAGATATCTGTCGGTCGAGAACAAACGACTTTTAGTTTTCGTTTGAGGCTTGGTAAAATGCCCATTTCTGAATGACGAGCTTCAGCTCTGTATGCATCTTGACGAGTTGCAATAAATATTTTATGTCATGTGTCCTCCCGTAGATGACAGATGCCAATCTCGGCGCCAAAAACGGCGGCCCTGAACGGAAAATAAGAGGGAAGTCGATGGATACATGAACGTAACACACACGCGCACAAATAATATATATATATATATATATATATATATATATATATATATATATGCCATATGCAGATATTTTGGCACAGTTCTGCGTATCTGACTGACGAAACAAAACGTATATATATATATATATATATATATATATATATATATATATATATATATATACTTTATTTTAGCATATTACATCGAAAACATGTCAAAATCGCTACACAATTTCACTCGTGTTTTGATAGTTATACAACGCGTCTCATTAGGCGACTGTAAATTACTGGCGAGTGAAATATTTAGTCAGATTTAAAAGCAAAATACAGCCTCATTTTTTTAAGAAAAAAAACAACAAAAGAGATGGGTAGGGGGTGGTTATAAGGCTTCTGACGGTTACTTAAATCAACCAATCAAATATGCCCTACGTTAAATTTAAACTAAGGTAAGAAGTAGAAATTAAGAAGCTATTTTCCATGAAGTGTTACTTGGATATATATATATATATATATATATATATATATATATATATATATATATATATATATATACGGTTCTATTCTAGGATAATATTCGTCCTGGGTAAGACGTTAAACCACATCCGCGTCCTGGTTAAGACGATAAACTACATCCAGCAGCAAGGCCTCTTATCAAGAGGTATTGAGGAGCGTAGAAACCATCTCTTAATTGCTGGTGTTCTCAGGTCCACCCAGACCCAGGGTTGTGGCACCTGTTAGGGTCACAGCTATGGGAAAATAGTTAGCTATAATCAGTAGTACTTTTTGGAGAAAAATTCTTACCAACAATACAATTTTGAAGGAAAAATATTACCAGAAACATATTTTTGACAAAACAAAATATTACCAGCAATAAAAACTTTTGTTGCCATTAAATAATCTATTGAGGTTGATACGCCGTAAAACAAAATAAACCAAACTAATCTAAACCAAAGAATACCTATTCTACTCATACAAATCTAACCTAAAAATGTTGTCGGCATCAAATATCCCATCAAGGTTGATATGCCGTAAAACAAAATAAACCAAACCAATCTAAACTAAAGAATACATATTCTATTCATACGAATCTATCGTAAAATCTTGTCGGCATTAAATATCCCATTGAGGTTGATATGCCGTAAAACAAAATAAACCAAACCGTTTTCAGCAAGCGCTTCGCATTTGGGATCAGAGTATCAAATTATACAAGGATATAGACAATGTATATCTTACGGTTGTTTTTCATCGGCTTCTTTTATTCTCTTACAATAAATTCATTTTCACGGACGAAGAAGAGATTTTGGCAACAGCAATGAGTTTCTACGGAAGAATGCTGAGAATCCCACATCCTGGATATGTGAACGAGGATGAAGTTTTAGGGAAAATGGAAACAAAAAGGAAACTTTGGAATCAAAAAGTAAAAGTTGAAATGCCTGTGGTACATAATGAAGTAATAAGTCTTTGAAAATTTGACACTCACAAAACATTGAAAGCATGAAGGTCAATGGAAAGTGAAGCCTACAGAGCGTATTTGTGTAAATGATCGGCTGAACAGAGATTGGGAGATATAGCAAAAGACGAACCTTCTTAAGAACTACAAAGGACAGGACGTTGTGGAGAGCCATTATAGACCAAGTTCTAGAGGGTTAAGGTAGATGGAAGGAGATATTCTGAATTATAACAACAAATGTTGCTAATATAAGGTGACCCCCCAAAATGGGAATTTTTGAAGTACGTATTGCCAGACATGAGCAAGTAGCAACACTGCGAGACAGTGACCTTGAGCCAGTAAACATTTCGCCATTTAGAATTCAAGATGAACTTCACAGTATCCCAGCTGAGATGTTGCAGCAGTCAATGAGGAATCTCAACAGCAGATTTCAAGAATGCATTTGACAAGGGGGCCGCCATCTACAGGACGTAATTTTAAAGAAATGTAAATTCCATCATTGTTTCTTAATGGCATATTTTAAGGTTTCAATTACTATGAATAAAATATTTTTCTTACATCACTCTTGGTTTTATTGGACTGTTAAAAAGTTCCCATTTTTTTGGGTCACCCTGTATAAACAGAAAGAAAACCACGGAGATATTTTTGCATTTTTGATTGATATATCTTAGGAATTAAGAAAACTATTCACGAAGACAATTTCAGGAATCGAAAATGAACTGGTCTTGTAAATTCTAAGCCAGTCCTCAAAGAATATGTCGCGTTTTATCTAATTTTTTAAACTATAATTTTAAATCGCTCTCGACTAATATTTGCCAACAGTTGAAAGGCACGAAGCTACTATCACTTTGTCGATTACATGTGATATATAGCATCGAATGCGTCGCCCTAATGTAAATGACAGGATAAAGAGCTTAAATTTAATGTAAATTTGTCTTCGGCTCTCTTAAGCTGTGGAGATTTATCATGGCGGCGTGAATTTGGAGCAAGAAGGTCGAGCGTGATGGAAGCGAAGGAAATGATCGATCGATTGGAATGGAATAATTAATTGCTCTTGATATTTCACGATTCAAATGAAGCCGAGCAGAAGATTGAACTTAGTAGAGAGAAATAAATAGGCCATTGAGCATAGATAGATAGATAGAAAGAAAGAAAGAAAGAAATAAAGAAAGAAAGAAAGAAAGAAAGAAAGAAACAGGCTGAGATAGATAGATAGATAGACAGAAATAAAGAAAGGGGCTGAGATAGATAGATAGATAGATAGATAGATAGACAGAAACAAAGAAAGAGGCTAAGATAGATAGATAGACAGATAGAAAGAAAGAAAGAAAGAAAGAAACAGGCTGAGATAGATAGATAGATAGATAGATAGATAGATAGAAATAAACAGGCTGAGATAGATAGATAGATAGATAGATAGATAGATAGAAAGAAAGAAACAGGCTGAGATAGATAGATAGATAGATAGATAGATAGATAGATAGATAGATAGATAGATAGATAGAAAGAAAAAAAGAAAGAAACAGGCTGAGATAGATAGATAGAAAGAAAGAAATAAAGAGGGTGAGATAGATAGATAGAAAGAAAGAAACAGGCTGAGATAGATAGATAATATACCGGCTGCCTAAAGGCTTTTGTACAGATAGATATGAAAAGGAGACAGAAAGAGGGACGGATAGATAGGTAGACTATCAGCATACACTTTATATATATATATATATATATATATATATATATATATATATATATATATATATATATATATATATATATAAGTATATTTTGTTTATATTCAAATGAAAGCTGTCACCCAACCAAATACTGTTTTAAGCTCGACGTTGCTTTTACTTCGGTGATGATAGGTGAACCGATGTTTCAAGACCATATGACAGTAAATCCTTGCAGATTGGGAGATAGATATTTATAAACAGAGTGAGAAAGAAAGAAAGAAAGAAAGAAAGCGATTGAGATAGATAGATAGATAGATAGATAGATAGATAGATAGATAGATAGATAGATATTAACAGATTTAGATAAATAGATAGGAACATACTTAGCTAGCTCGATAGATACAAACAGACAGATAAATCGATAGGGACAGACTGAGATAGATAGATAGATAGATAGATAGATAGATAGATAGATAGATAGATCAGTATTTGTTTATATCAAACTGAAAGAGAAACATAAACTAAATTAGGAAGCAAGCTAAGTAAAATACAATGAATATAAAAAAAAGGCGTTCGTGCCTTTCGTTTTATGAATCTGAGGAGGCAAGCTCCATCAGAAGAGAAAGTCTATAAACGAATGAAAGACACGAGTCATCTGTTGCGGCTTCGGCTTTCAAACATCTCACTGTTTCTTTTCTACCTTGTGATGGTCGCCTAAATTGTTGCCAACAGGTGCAGCGATCTTGTAAACCATAAAACTCTTCATTTTCTGCGAGTTCTTTGCTCATCCAATTGAGTGTAATTACGTCCCAACTTCTTAAAACACACCAGGCTCATTAAAAAGGACAATGAAAGACGATTTGTTTATTTCAAGTTAAGTTAATATTCTCTACATGCACGCACAACTCCAAAATACCTATAACTTTCCTTTATCTTTTCTATAAATACTTTCATGGTAATTCCTCTGGTAACTAGCCGTCTGGAAATCAAGCGCAATACTAGACTGGCGGTAAGGTCTCGTTTTGCAGGTGAAATGACTGAATGTAACCGCAAGTTCTGTGCTAACAATTTCTTACCTTATTTACATTATTCGGTCTATTGTCCTCATCTTTGTCGCTATATTTATTACAACGTTTCGACCCTTCAGCATCTGTCTGTATTTCTGAGATGAGGTATTATGTACACTTTTTACATTATTCGGACTATTGTCCTCATCTTTGTTGCCATATTTATTACAACGTTTCGGCCGTTCAGTATCTGTCTATATTTCTGAGATGAGGTATTATGTACACTATTTACATTATTCGGACTATTGTCCTCATCTTTGTCGCTATATTTATTACAACGTTTCGGCCCCTTCAGCATCTGTCTGTATTTCTGAGATGAGGTATTATGTACATTTTTTTTTACATTATTCGGACTATTGTCCTCATCTTTGTTGCCATATTTATTACAACGTTTCGGCCGTTCAGTATCTGTCTATATTTCTGAGATGAGGTATTATGTACACTTTTTACATTATTCGGACTATTGTCCTCATCTTTGTTGCCATATTTATTACAACGTTTCGGCCGTTCAGTATCTGTCTATATTTCTGAGATGAGGTATTATGTACACTATTTACATTATTCCTCATCTTTGTCGCTATATTTATTACAACGTTTCGGCCCTTCAGCATCTGTCTGTATTTCTGAGATGAGGTATTATGTACACTTTTTACATTATTCGGACTATTGTCCTCATCTTTGTCGCCATATTTATTACAATGTTTCGGCCGTTCAGTATCTGTCTATATTTCTGAGATGACGTATTATGTACACTATTAACATTATTCGAACTATTGTCCTCATCTTTGTCGCCATATTTATTACAACGATTCGGCCCTTCAGTATCTGTTTACATTATTCGGACTATTGTCCTCATCTTTGTTGCCATATTTATTACAACGATTTCGGCCGTTCAGTATCTGTCTATATTTCTGAGATGAGGTATTATGTACACTTTTTACATTATTCGGACTATTGTCCTCATCTTTGTTGCCATATTTATTACAACGTTTCGGCCGTTCAGTATCTGTCTATATTTCTGAGATGAGGTATTATGTGCACTATTTACATTATTCCGACTATTATCCTCATCTTTGTTGCCATATTTATTACAACGATTCGGCCGTTCAGTATCTGTCTATATTTCTGAGATGAGGTATTATGTACACTATTTACATTATTCGGACTATTGTTCTCATCTTTGTCGCTATATTTATTACAACGTTTCGGCCCTTCAGCATCTGTCTGTATTTCTGAGATGAGGTATTATGTACACTTTTTACATTATTCGGACTATTGTCCTCATCTTTGTCGCCATATTTACTACAACGCTTCGGCTTTCTTCAGGTGGTTGGAATGTCGAACTGTACCCTTTATTTCGCTCACTGGTGTAGACTGTTCTAATTCCATGTGCCATGTTTGATGGATGTCATTTATCAGTTATCTCCAGTTAATTTTCCCTCTGAAAGTTCTCCACTGCCTTAACCGGGTATTGAACTCACACTCTTTGGGTCATTTCACTGGATCTAACCAACGCCTTTATCCACTGTGCCATGTGTCCTTGAGGCGTTGATTAGATCCAGTGACAGGACCTAAAGAGTGTGAGTTCAATACCCGGTTAAGGCGGTGAAGAACTTGGATAACTGATAACTGACATCCATCAAGCATGGCACGTGGAACTAGAACAGTCTACCCCAGTGAGCGAATAAATGGTTCAGTTCGACATTCCGACCACCTGAAGAAGGCCGGAGCGTACAACGGCTGAAACGTTGTAATAAATATTGCGACAAAGATGAGGACAATAGTCCGAATAATGTAAATAATGTACATAATACCTCATCTCAGAAATATAGACTAACAATTTCTTCTATTACACTTCCCGGTTTTAGAACTCTCTTCTGGATTCTTGCTTTTAAGTTTGTCCTTCAAATACTGATATGCTAAGTCAATCGTCATCTTACTTGTTTTCTGTACTTTTAATTTTTTTTTCTTCTTAATAACGTTTTCTTTAGCTACCATTCACTTACACTCAGCACGTTCCTTGCTTCTTTGCAGCTTTATTATCCTTGTGATGCCCTGTGAGAAAATGCATACTGTACTGCTTGGCATTTGCGCCGGAAAATCCAATACAAATATTTTCGAGTGTTTCACTGTCAATCTGAGGACAGCGTAGAGGATTCGGAAAGAGATGTATGAGTTTAATGGTGATTACGAAGGTACGACAGGTCGAAATACTCACTCACGAGTTGTTGAGACTAGTGGAAACAGAATTTATGTCAACGTTTTTCTTTTTACTTAAGCCTAGACCGGGCTTATGTGTATCTTGTTCTTTCCCGTATAATGAGGATCAATGTCTACATTTTTTACTATAATGCAAACCAGACCTGTGACTACCAAACAGGATATAGTGTCTCCTTTTTCTTTTTTTTTGAAATAGATCTATATTTACATGTTAGACACAAATGTAAACCAGACTCATGTCTACCATTTTGTCTCTAGTGTAAATCTCATCTATATCTACACTTTTGACTCAAACGTGTACCGGATTTATGTCTACCTATCTACTAATTTCATATGATATCAATATATAAGTTGTGTGACGTACGGTAGCCGTTAATAATTAATTATAACTCAAAACTTCAATGGTAAAATAAAACTGTATTTAATTACAACCGCAAATAAATACTTAACAAGAACAAAGAAGTAAAAGTCAATCAAAGATAATTAACCATTTCAGTGAATACCTTGTTAGTAGCGCAGCTCGCTTTAACGTCCGGTAAATCCTAAATCAAAACCCAAATCATTGACACACAATAATTCACACTAATTCGACTGGATAGTTTCATTCAATAGTCATTCAATAATCAATTCCAGTCAGTAGTCTGACATCGCTATTTATACACCTGGCCGTAAACATAAATTTTTAAGTCCAGAGTGTCACGCTGGAACCTCAATGTCAGTAGATACTCATTTTTCTTCCTATATGTTTAAAGGTTACGGTAAACGTTATTAAATATACAATGCAAAATACAATATAAGAATAATTTTACAAATTTAGGGACGTGTTCCTGACTCTACCATAATCTTTCTTTAAATTTGATAACTCAAAAAGGAAGAATTTGCAGACATAAGTTTATATGAACTATTGTCCTTGTTTTTGTGTGAGGAACCCACTCCAAATTTTTGTAAAATTATTTTTTATATACACTAAAAATCTTTATTTTATTTAGTGTGTATTTAATTTAGTCTTTTTGTGACGTACGGTGGCTGTTAATAATTAAGTATAACTCAAGACATCAATGTTAAGATAAAACAGTATTTAATTACAACCTCAAATAAATACTTAACAAGAACAAATAAGTAAAAGTCAACTAAAGATAATTAAACATTTCAGTGAATACCTTGTTACTAGCGTGGCTCGGTCTAACGTCCGGTAAATCCTAAATCAAAACCCAAATCATTGACACACAATAATTCACACTAATTCGACTGGATAGTTCCATTCTATCATCACTCAATAATCACCGCAGTCAGTAGCCTGACACCGCTATTTATACACCTAGTAGAAGACATATAAGTTCAGAGTGACACGCTCGAACCTCGGTGTCGGTAGTTATTCATTTTCTTTCTATATGACAATTACTTTGCTTGGGGTGAAATGATAAAATATATTTTTCTATCTACTATGGCACTTCATTTACTCAACCGCGTTAGGCAGGTTACTCGTTATTTCAATCTTTCTTTCCTGCCTTCAATATGTCCTCTGTCTGTCAAACACTCTAGCCAATGTTTTACGTAACATAGACATTTTAACTGTCTGTTTTTGATTTTAAATATGTTTTATCTTTTCGTTTGCTTTATCCTTAAAACTTCCGGGTTGTCCCCTTGCACTGACCATAGAATTCTCAGCATCCTTCTGTAGAACTGCAGGGGTCGATCTCAGCGTGCGGCAACTTTTGGATAGTGCCTGAAAACCATACCTTGGTTTGAGACTTGTGAGTGAAATTCAATAGAAAGAACCTTTAGGGGACATCGATGGCTGTGGTAGCATGAAGTCACAAGTCATCGTGCCCGAGTGTTTTAGCATGCTGACCTTGTTCAAATTGTCGTTCACGCTAGATAACTCGCTCTTTCCCGGAAACTGTGACTAAGGTCTACTCACTTCAATATATCCTCTAACCGTCAAAGATTTACGTAACAGTCATTTTAACTGTCGGCTTTTGATTTTAAATATGTTTTATCTTTTCATATGCATTGTCCTTAAAGCATCCTGGTTGTCACCTTGCCCCGACCATAGTATTCTCAGCATCCTTCTGTAAAACCTGATTACTGTTG